AGACTCTGTCTCAAAAAAAATAAAATAAAATAAAATAAAAGATGAACAAAAATGTATTAATAAAAATAAAAGGATTTTATTAAAATAGAAGGCTGCAGGTTCCCCATCCCAGATGGATTTAAGTGCTGGCTTTTCTGTGTGACCTTCTATGTGATACATAACTCAGTTTCTAAACTTCAGTTTCCTCATCTGTAAAATCAGTATAATTAAACAGTTCTTCCTCAATGGACCACTGAGAGATTAAACAGCACTCTCATTCCTTGGCTTCTTTATTTCTACTGTCCTTTTACTTCACTCTGTTGCAGTCACCCACTACTCCTATAATATTCTGGACTATTTTACCTCTAAAATCTCAAATTCAAACATCCCATTCTCTGATCACAACCTCTTATTCTTCCAGGATTCTGCTGGAAGAATACAGTTGTTCTTCAACTTCATATGGACTTCCAGTCAATTGATCCCTTAGTTTTTCCTCAGATCCATCGCTTTCTTCCTTAACAAAACTCTCTCCCCATCCAGCTTAGAGTCTCGGGTCTACAATTGCAGTCACTCTCTTACAGGTACCCTAAATTCCCTTACTTCTCTGTCCTTTGGTCATATGCCCCTGGTAAAACCCTAACTCTGGATGAAATGGCTTCCTGGGCCTAACATGGGAACCTGAGTGCTGCTAAAAACGAAACTCACTACTACTCCTACTACCAATTCGTTATCATCAAATTGAACTGGACATTCACTGTATCTGGCAATGTTTCTCTCACTCTCTCTTCAGGATGATTTCTAATCTGCATTTCCCTCCAACCCACACCACTCTCCCTGAGACCCTTCCGCATTCTTAGCACTCTCACTTGAAGAGAAAAGAGAAGCCAACAGATAGAAATTTCTTTAACTTCCCATTACCAGCTTCGTCTTCATCTTCATCTGTCTTTTCGGTTCTCTACTATCTTTAAATATCTTTCCTCAATGCTGCATAGCAAAAATTCTTGAAAAAGTGATCCACATTGTTTCTACTCCTTCACTCATTTCCCATTCACTCTACGACCACCACAATATGGCTTCCTCCTAAT